TCTATCTATCTATCTATCTATCTATCTATCTATCTATCTATCTATCTATCTATCTTAGCCTTGGTGGCGCAGTGGTTAGAGTGCAGTACTGCAAGCTACTCCTACTGCAATTTGGCAGATTGAATCCCACCAGGCTCAAGGTTAACTCAGCCTCCCATTCTTCCGAGGTGGGTAAAATGAGGACCCAAATTGTTGGGGGCAATAGGCTTACTCTGTAAACCGCTTTGAGAGGGCTGTAAAGCACTGTAAAGTGGTATATAAGTCTAAGTGCTATTGCTATTTATCATATTTAGAAATAATTTTATTCAGGATTAAAAGCTACAAAATCAAAAGCGAAAATTCAAGGGGAAAAAGAAGTATGAAAAGAGAAAAGAAAAAGTAAGAAATTGTAAAAATCAAAGAAGAGAATGAAACAATGGGAAAGAAAAATATCTAAAGAAGCTATTTCCAAGCTGCTTTGCAACAGTTATGAATGCGTTGTGGAGTCCTTGGTGCTCTCTGTGTTTGGTTGTTTTCTTGCAGATGTTTCATTAACCGACCTCATCAGTGTTAGTGAGTGAGGGGTTTGCATTCTGTTTGTATACAGCGGCTAGCTAGGTCAGTACTGGTTGCGGGGGTGTTGTTTTGATAATTCCTTGATTAGGTTGGTTTTTAGTGTTCAGTTATTTGTCTGAGTTGGTAGTTCCTTGATTGAGGTATTATTTAGTGCTGGATAGTTGCTCTGGTATTAAGTATTCTAATGTCAAGCTTTGCTTATCTGGGTGCTGATTGTTGGCCAAGGTGGTGTTCTTGTCCTTTTGTTTCCTTTTTAGTTTTTTTCAGTGTCTAATGATTGCCTGTAAACGTTGTTTATCTCTATGTGCCTGCTGATGGCTGATTTGTCTGAGTGCCAAGCTTCCAGGAAATCCATAGCAGTTTTGGACTTAGTCTAGGATGTTCGGTTTCCCAGCTCAAAATACAGGTAGACCTCAATCTTTTTTTGCTGTAACTGGGACCAGAATTTCCATTGCTAAGTAAGATGGTTGTTGAGTGAGTCATGCCTGATTTTACAAACTTTTTATCACATGGGTTGTTAAGTAAACCTGGCTTCCCACGTTGATTTTGCTTGTTGGAAAGAGATATGATCATATCTTTCTTAAGTGGCATCTATGGATGTACATAGCAATTCCTTGTCCTAGCTAGTGCTGGGTGCACTCGTGGTTTGCCATAATCTTTGTGCTGCCTGGTATTTCTACAAGTAGTCCTTGGCTTACAATCATTCATTTAATGACCATACAAAGTTACAACAGCGCTAAAAAAAACATGAGTTATGATCAGTCCTTGCAATTGCAACCGTTGCAGCATCCCCCCAATCAAAATTTGGCCACTTAGCAACCAGTGTGTATTTATCATGTTTGTAGCATGAGGCAAGTGATGTGAGCTCACTCCACCACACAGTGCTAGAACTTGAACTCCAGGTCATATGACTGCTATTTGCAACCTTCCCAGCCAGCTTCTGACACAAAAATGTCAGTGCTGGATTCCCTTAATAATCATATGATTCACTTAACAACGGCAGTGGTCCGCTTAACAACTGTGGCAAAACAGATCATAAAGTCGGGCTCAGTTCACTTAACCACTGTCTTGCTTAGCCATTGAAATTCTGGTCGCAATTGTGGTTGTAATCAAGGACTGCCTTGTACTCACATAGCACACAGCAGAACACATAGCACAATCCAATCTACAATATACTTATCAGAGGGGCTGGGTTTGTCCAACATGTTAAGCCATTCCCTTCCCTCCCAAAAAACGATCAAGCATTAACAGTGAAGCTTACTTTCTTCAGCATGTGGCGCAAACGGGCTTGCTAAATCATTACTTTATCAAGTGTGTTGGAATTTCCCGAGCAAGGAAACAATAAATAAATATTTCCAAAATGTTGCAGAAGAACAGATGGCCATTTCATTGTTTTAAATAAGCTATTAACACCCACCTCATTAAAACAAGATTCAGTTAGAAAGAAAGATCAGAGCCAACTGAGAGGGCCTTCCCTAGCATAATTTTGGGGGGGAAATAGAATGGCCTTTAAATTATCCCTTTTTTTCTTGCAGTAATTCTTCCTAATCAGGCTCCATATGAGAACCTTATTTTCTTGGTTATGGGCTACTGTGTGAGGCTTAACACTAAATGTGATGTACACATTTGGTAGAGGGGAAGCCTATCTTATAAATCTACTGTCATAATTGTGATAGAAATGCAAATAAGAGTTTGTATGAAAAGTTAGGCGCACCTTTTACAAGCCTGTTTGTGGGATGCAGTGAATTAGAGAGTAAAACAGGGTAAGCCTTGCACATATTCAAAACATGTATTTTACTACACATTCCCATGAAAATCAGGCCTATTTTTGTTCCCATCCCTGTTTATTTCTGGAGTGCTGCCAAAAACATGCCACCCAAGGCTAGCATGGGTCTCAAACCAACAGGAAATTTGTACCCCAATGTAGAACCTGAGTTAATCAACAAGAATTTCTCTTCCTTTTTAGCCACTCAGAGTCTTCTCAAACCATGCGAATGTAGTATTAGTAGTAGTAATCCCAAACATTCCAAAAACAAATGGCAGGAACTCATGAAGGCTCTCTAGTGTCGTCATTTGCATCACAGAAGGATAATAATTAAACATCCTCTCTCTGCATGTGTTAACTATGATCACTATGGCCCCCATATGAATGGAATTTGACTGGCCCTAAAATGAAGGAATCAAACAGGCTGAAAGAAACACCAAGGTTTAAAGAAATCCATGTGGCATCCCTGTTAAAGAGTAGTATCTTTTGGAGAACATGTGAGCAGTCAGTCAGTCAGTCAATCAATCATCTGTCTGTCTGTCTGTTTATCTATCTATCTATCTATCTATCTATCTATCTATCTATCTTTCTATCTATCTCTTCTGTGCCCCCCCATTGCCACATCGATTCTATACAGCTAACTGTCCTGCAATTAAAATACCATTTAAAACATTAAAATATTAATACAATAAATATGAGCATGCATTTAAACATTCAGATAAGTTGTGAAAGCGGGTGCCGTAGAATACTTCTGAAGCCGTTGGCTGATTGTAGGTGTGAACAGAAGCTTCTGTGTTGCATTATTCATGACCCATGTCTTCCCAGGAATATACCAGGTCAACCGTTCCATGATTTCAGTCACCCTTATTTCTTATTTACACCTCAGCTGTGTTGTTCCTTTTCCATATCGCAGTTACGACTCGACTTACCGTTTAGAGAAAAAAAATCTGATTGTACCTCTTTCTCTCTCCTCTTATAGGTTGGCCCATCACTTTATCTACCCTCAAGCAATTGTTCAGCCCAGCATGGTGATCCCAACTCCTGTCCAGTCCATCACTTCTCCTTACATAGACTACACAACGGCAAGCCAGGCCTACTCGCAGTTCACCACTGCTGCCTACGACCAGTATCCCTATGCTCCTTCTCCTGCTTCTGGCTTTGTGGGATACGGGTACACAGGCGCCGTTCCTCAACCTGCCACGGCTGCCAGTCTACCAATAGCAGCACCCACAACTTTTGTGCAGTATCCACCAACACAGCTGCAACCAGACCGTATGCAATAGAAACCCATCTTCGGAAGGACCTTTCTGGCTATGAAGGAATGCAAAGACATAGAAGGGGACGAGAAAACAAAGAAGAAAACAATAATAATTTTTTTAAAAAAAAAAATCAAGCTTTTGTAAAAAAAAAGAAAAAGAAAAAAAGAAAAATTGATCATATTAGGGAGAATGCATATCAATACCTAAGCTATTTATAGTGTTACAGACTTTTAAAAACATCCTTGCAACAACAACAAAAAAAGATTTTTAACTTACAATGAACGTTGGAAATCTCTTTTTCCATCTTTCCCTCTCTTCCTTTTTATCGAGACAGATATTATTGCAAAGATGGACTAAAATGACACACACACCCGCTTCCTGCGCTTAAAAGTTGAAAACTGCAAACCCTTGAATACTTCATAGCAGTTCATTTCATCACCAGCCATTTTCTGCTTTATTACTTAAGTTGCTATGCACCATCCAACTCTTGCCGTCTGTTATTTAGCCTTGTTGCAAAAGGTATTTGGAGACTACATAAATGGGGAGGTGGGGGAGAGGAAGGAGCAAGTTTTGGGGATCAAGGGGTGGGAGGATCCTTCCATTAAAAGCTTCGTAATACTCAAATGCCTTATAGGAAAGGGAAAAAAAGAGCGTATTTTAATATTTATTGTGATCTCTATTCACAGGGGCTGTGAATTGCAGGTGAAAAATATAGTAATATCTGCCTTGTCTAATGTTCACACCTAAATTATTTGTGTATTGGAGGAGTTCTAAATTGCTTTCGACATGCAAAAGTAATATTGGCTTTAAGGACGGTGCAATATTCAAGTCGATGCACTGTATTTTTCTTATTTGTAATTGTTACTCTTTTAAGATTATCTCAAAGTTTTAGGTATATTTTTTAAAGCAAGAAAAGCAAGAAAAAAAAATATTGAACACATTGTCTACTTTAATAGATCTTTTGTTTATGATGCTGCAGGTCTAGAGAAATTTTACAGTATTTATATAAAAGCCAAACGGGGTCTTCAACCAGCACTGTTTTGTTAGGCAAATGTCAGGAATAAATTAGAATTCTATTACGGTGTTACACACTTAAACAAGAGAGTTGAAAAAGTTGACCCCCAATGATACAAAGTGCTGAATAGGTAAAAGGCAGTGTAAGAAGTGCATTTTTACAAAGAACAGCAATAAACTATTTTGAATTTTAAGATCGTGTTGTGCTTGGCTGCTTCATGAGAAACTGGGAGATATTTGTGGCTTGCTACCTCACTGGATTATGTATCCTTATCCTGTATATCTTGGATTAGAGCTGGGCTGTCAAACTCCTGGTCCATGGGTGCACACGCACTGGCCATGCCCATGCCCTTTTTAGCAAAATGGGGAAAAGTCCCGATACGTCAGGTGACGCCGCCATGACGCCGTAAGTTTGACACCACTGGATTAGAGTGTCTATGGAGATTCTCAATCCTCCAGGTCATGATTGTCCCAAAGGTGCTTTTCAAAAGGCAACCGGACTCAGAACTGATGCAGCTTCTTGGATGAGAAGCGAAATGTTTTCAAGAAAAAAAAAAAGACCCAAGAAGGTCCAGTTGCCTTTTGAAAAACACCTTTAGGATTTCGATGAGAGTGTTCTGCTTTGTGCATCCTGGACTACGTTAAGTAGAAAACTCTACTGACGGTCAGCCTTTGTGGATCCTGTTGTGTGTAGCAATGACACTATTCACATTTTTCCTCTTTTTACACAAACGTGGAAGGGAGATGACCTTTAGTAAAAGAAGTTCCAGTAGACCTAATCTGAAGCCTAACACACTTGCCCTGTTTATCCATAATAAAGACAGGCCAACCAAGGAAAGTCAGAAAAGCACTTGGCTCCATTACGAGAAATCTCCAAGAATTGAAAAAGATCCTATTTTACCTGATTTATATCCAGGGGTGGGATCCAACAGGGTTAACTATCGGTGCAATGATTTATGAGGTTCGGTGATTTACGATGTGCTTCCCTGCACGCTGGCGCACCTGTAAATTGTCATCAGCACGCTGCCTGTAGAGAAGCAGCCTTTGAAAAAGCCCTTTTTTCCTGCTTTTTTAACTGCAGCTGTGCCTCGTTTGGCAGCTGAAGTTGAAAAATCAGGAAATAAAGATCAGATAAGAGCCCGGATGGGCGAGTGGACAAAAACATCAGCAGACATAGAACTGGTTCTATGCTGCTCTTCAGAGCTACTGGTTCTACAGAGGTGGACAGAACCGGTAGAAACCCACCGCTGTTTATATCCCATTTTTCCTCTAAAAGCTGAAGGTGGCGTATCTCCTTTTTATCCTCATAACAACAACCCTGTGAAGTAGGTTGGGCTGAGAGAAAAAAAAAAGAAAGACATCAATTTGTCCAGAGAGTTTCCATGGCTGAGAATCTATTTGCACTTGAGTTTTCACAGTCCCGGTTCAATATCTTAACAATGACACGAATGAATGAATCAGTGAATGAATGAGGGGGAAAAATTACATTTCCTTTCAGATAAGTGGAGGAAAACTGAACAAGGTTTGTTTTTTTGTTTTTTTGCATTCTGCCATCATATTTCTATTGCATTTATAGAATTGCTGCAGTGGGAGGAAAGCAGAGAAGAAACCGTAACTTGGTATAATATGTGAATCAATTTAGGATATAAGCAGATTGGCCTCAGGCAATAGGCAACAGGCTATTCATGGCTGCCAGAGAATGCAAGCAATATATTAATGATAAATAGGATGTCCTTGGCTGAGCCAGGAGGAAATTCCTTGCAGTCTTGCTTGGGTTCAGACATTGAAGAAAGCCATAATGTGATTTTACCTTTGTGCTATATTAAACTAGTCACAGTCAATGTGTAGCACCTAGCTATGGTTTATTGTTTCGTGCAGAAAAGCACAATTGGAGGGCCCAGTCGGGTATCTGCTTGGTGGTGGACATCTTAGCTTTTTTGAAGTCCACCCCTACAGACACCCCTGGTCCCCAGGTTTCATATATCCCCCAGTTATCCAACTGCAATTGTCAATAATGCAGAAGATGAACATGGTTAAATACCCAAGTGGAGAATAATCATATTAATATATTACATTTTAAACCAGCAGACTCAAATTTAATGTTGTTGACTGATCTCTTGCTTTTGGAAATCTGTTCCTTAGTACGTCATACCAAACCTTAACGTAGAAAAATTTGATGACTTCTCATTTAGGACATAGCATAAATTCAGCTAATGATTTGTTCTTTGATATCTTGGTTGCTGGCTGACTTATCACAACCCAATTTCTGAGGATGTGCTTTATACTACTACCTTCGGCTACTTGGCAGAGGGGATGGGCTACAAATTAGGGGGCAACATGAACATTATTCCCTGGCATTGGGGAGCCTGAACATTCAAATCCCCCCAAATGTTTGATCACAAAAATCCTGTAAAATAGGTCGGGGCAAGAGAAAGCAACAGTAGCCCAAATGCTCACTAGGTTTCTAAGGCCCAAGTCGAATTTGAATATGGGTCTCCCCAATCCTCAGTGGCAGTTAAGATGCTGGGCTTGTCAGCTGGAAAGTTGGTAGCCCAGATTTGAGACCTCAGTGCCATGCAACGACAAACTCCCATCTTCGTCCCAGCTCTTGCCAACCTAGCAGTTCGAAAGCATGCAAATGTGAATAGATAAATAGGTACCACTTTTGGCAGTGGTTTGCTCTCCAAGCTTGTTTCAATTTAGTTTCTGAATGTTTTACGTCATGAACATGATTTTCTTGTCTATTCTTAGCTTATAATGTCTCATGTAGCATTTTGTTGGGAAGGTAACAGTGCTCCAGGACATCATGCTGGTCACATGACCATGGAAATGTCTTCAGACAGTGCTGTCTCAATGGCCTTAAAACGGAGATTAGCACCAACCCCTAGAGTCAGCAACGACTGGTGGAGTAAAATCTGCAGGGATTCCTTTACCTTTTACTCCCCAATCCTAGTGTATTTAGCCATTGCATAGTCCTTGGCTTATAACCACTCATTTAGTGATTGAAGTTATAACGGCACTGACTTATAACTCATACCTATAACCACTGCAGCATCCCCTGAGTCATGTGATCTAAATTCAAGCACTTGGCAACTGGCATATGACAGTTGCACTGTCCCAAGGCCGTGTGATTGCCATTTGTAACCTTCCCTGCTGGCTTCTAACAAACAAAGTCAATGGGGCAAGCCAGATTTACCTAATAACCCCATGATTTATTTAACAACTTCAGTGATTCGCTTAACAACTGTGGCAAAAGGATCATAAAATGGGGGCAAAACCCAACAGTCCTGCTTAGCAACACAAAATTTGAACTCAATTGTAATTGTAATTTGAGGGTGCTATTCTGGTTCTTTTTTACAGGCTGTAAAGTTCACCCCCACCTATAATAAACATTTAAAAAGAATCTTCGTAGTTTGGTTGGGGTTCAATGAATTTGGGGGAAGGCAGTTTTTACAACAGGAGAGCAGTGAAGAGGGAAATTTCTCCATGCGTTTTGTTGCTGGGATATTTTGATGGATGGGATTGTCAAAAGACCATTCATGATGAACAGGAGGAAGATTATGCTGGAATGAAGAGAATGTAGAAGGAATGCTTATCAGGCAGTAACAGGGCATTCTGGCAAGGGCAACTCTAGCCTGAGATGGTTGCCAAGCGAGCCAGCTAATGGCTGCAGAGGAACTGTTGATCAGCACAAGTCCAAGCCATAACTTTTCAACCATTCCCTGGAATGGAAACTCCCAGCACAGCCTGGGCAGGCAAATAAAATGTGCTTTCATTTTTTACTTTAATCAAAATAAAGTCTCCAAATCACGTTCAACTCTTCGGAGACTTCAAAGGCACAATCCTGTAATTTTCTACCAGGGATATGATCACTCACGACTATGCTTCTCAGCCTGCAGTCCTGGGATTTCCTAATAGTCTTCCAATCAAATACTGACCCTGGTTACTTTCTAAGTTAATTCAAGGTTATCCAGGTCCTGCCACGATGAGGCAATAACGTTTTATAGTGGGTCTTTAAAATGAACGTTAATACATTTGTTTAATTGCACAAAGGGTGAGTGGGGAGAGAAATTGCTAATACATCAGAAGAGAGGCTCAAGATTCAAAAGAATTGTTGATGGACTTGAACATTTGGCCCTATTGAATAAAATGTGGGGAGAAATGCACAGTTCTTTGGTAGGGAAAAATAACCAGGTACCAGGTATTACAGTGGTGGGATTCAAATAATTTAACAACCAGTTCTCTTCCCTAATGACTGACTGGGTGGTTGGGCATGGCCAGGGGGCATGACCAGTGGTGGGATTCAACGGGTGTAACAACCGGTTCGGTGAGAACACGCCTTGCGGTCACTCGCAACATTTGAAAACTGCCCATTTTCATCTCTCAAACTTACCTTCTGCTGCAGCCCCAGTGAGTAAAACAGCTGAGGCGCGGTAATACACTCTGTCATGCGAATCAGCTGGGCTGAAAAACATGGAAATATCGGACAGACTAGGTCAGGGGTGGGTGGGTGGAGCCAACTAATCACTGGAACTACCAGTTTGCTTGAACCGGTCCAACCCGGCTGAATCCTACCCCAAGGTATTATTTGGTTTAGGAGTAGCATTTATGATCTGTGTTTCTTAACATAATTGTCAACTCAAAAAAAAAAATACTTTTTGGTCTTTTTAGCTGCCAGAAAAAGATCGTGGGGGAAAACAAGGAATTCTTGAAATGCCTGGATAATTACCTCGGCAGCCCAAAGTTGTCGGAGAATAAGAAGGTTATTGGAGAGCATGATGGATGACTCTTGGAGAGAGATGTGTCCCATTAAAGAAGTCACATCCAGGGGGTGGGGGAAAGACCGGGGTCAAGGAGGAAATGTATGATGTGATTTAGTATCGGCTGCACCCAGCCATGCACCAACATGGCAATTTCTAATAAACCAATGTACTTTTTCTGAGATGTGGCTAGAGACTTTTGGAATGAATGAGGGTGCATTTGTTGGAGCCCTGACAATAATAACTGAGTTGGAAGGGACCTTGGAGATCTTCTAGTCCAACCCCCTGCTCAAGCAGGAGACCGTATACCATTCCAGACAAGTGTCTTATCTTTCTTAAAAGCTTCCAGCAATGGAGCATCCACAACTTCTGAAGACAAAGCTGTTCCACTGGTTATTTGTTCTAACT